GGGCAATCCTACTTCCGTAGTGATACTGCCTCGGAAACCCAAGGAGGGGTCGCTATGAGTCAGGGCCGACTCGACGGCACATAACAACAACAACAACATAGTCTTTACAGAAGCAGACTGCCACATCTTTCTCCCATGGAGCAACTTATGGGTTTGAACCAGTAACCCTTAGGTTAGCAGCCATGCACTCTAACCACTGTGCTACCAGGGGTTCTCTACCTAAATTATAAAAGTCCAATAGATATATTAGAAGCAATTTCCTTGAATAGTATGTTTATTGAGTTACAATGCAATTTCTCATAGAGATAATATATATAAATTACAACTCAGATAATAGAGTTGTAATTTATATGATTCACAATAATAGTTCTTGAAAAAAAGTGAAATGTGCTTAAACGCTGTTCTCAAAACAAAAACTCTGCCTCATTTCTTTCTGACATATTTGAGCTGGAAGTTAGTAGTGAGGCAAGAATAAGAATGTTTTTCTTCTGTGTGTCTACTAGAGAAGTAAACCCCATTAGTAAGAAATACAATTTCACAATTTGACTCCTAACATGAGACACAAGTTTTTTTGTTTTTCCTTCTTTTTGTTCCATATACTATATTGCCAAAGATATTCTATATTGGCTATAGTTTGTCTCTCTTCAATAATCTCAGTATTTGTATTGTTTGTTATATTTTTCAGTCAAGGGAATCCATTTCCTTAAATGACCTAAAGTCCGAAGTATCGCCGCGGATTTCAGCAGAGGATCTGATCGATTTGTGTGAGCTCACAGTAACAGGTCACTTCAAAACACCCACCAAGAAAACAAAGCCCAGTAAACCAAAGCTCCTGGTGGTTGACATCCGGAGCAGTGAAGAGTATCCTTTACATATGCTGTTTTAAAGGGTAGTACTACCTTATTTATATTGTTTCCTTTTCCATTTAAAGGACGTGTGGTAAAAAAAAAAAAAGAACATTGCTGGGATTCCTTTGAATCCAGATAACTCAATAACTCTCAGACTGGATGCCAGAATACATTTGCATGAGATTTCATAAGATAACATTACATACCAAAAACCTTAAAATGTTTTCCAAACAACACCAGAATATTGGGATTTTATTTTGGTATTTGTATTTCTTTGGTCTATATTGCTGCTCTTGAGGGCATTTGAATCTTTCCTGCTACAGATAAAAAGTTAGGCAAAGATGAAAAGTAAGTATATTCCTGATTCATGTCATAGCCAGATCTCTATATTGAACTTGTGTTTATTATACTTTTTTAAAACATTTGCTTACAGAGAACATGTTAAAATATTTTTTTATTAAGATTTTTAATGTTGGACTTATTATACTTCCAGTGATTTTGTTTAGCATTAAAGTATGAGTAGTTACAAAAGAGTAACAGTTGAACTTTTCTCCTTATGTTTTCATTATATGTCAGATTCTTATAAAGCATACCTTGATCCTCTGGGTAAATGGTTTTCAAAACTTTTTAACAGAGCAACCCCTTTTTAATAAAATTTTACTTTACCCATATATAAAAGCAAATGCAGAATTTTATTATAATTTCATTAATAAATTTACATTTATATAGCATTACTAATGTTGTTAGTTGCTGTGTCATGACAATCCCACGCACAATGGAACAAAATGCTCCCCAGTGCTGTGCTATCCCCATGATTGGTAGCAGATTGGACCATTGTGATCAATAGGGTTTTCACTGGCTGATTTTCAAATGTAGATTGCCAACACTTTCTTCCTAGTCTGTCCTAGTCTGGAAGCTTTCTTGATGCCTGTTCATCATCAGAGCAACACACAAGTCTCTAGTGACAGATAAGGGCTGACTGCATGTGTGATACACTGGCCAGTAACAGACCACAACTCTCCCACATGGAAGGCAAGATAAGACCTACCACTGAACCACCCCTGCCCCCAGTTATTAACATAAATTTATAAATTAAGGTTAGCAAGTTGATGGTTTCTTATATGGTAATATTGGCACATAGTGCATTTTCATGTGCATATTTTCAATCTCATTTTTGGAAATAAAATTTTAAACTTCTAATCATACGTTTAGGAGCTCTGGTAACATAGTGGCTAAAGCACTTGACTGCTAACCAGAAGGCTGGCGGTCCAAACCCACCAGCCACTCCTCGGAAGGAAGGTTGGGCAATCCTACTTCCGTAGTGATACTGCCTCGGAAACCCAAGGAGGGGTCGCTATGAGTCGGGGCCGACTCGATGGCACATAACAACAACAACAACAATCATACATTTACAAAATTCCCAAAGCAATCTATAGGATCTTAAGTTACTAATGATACAGTTTGAAAGCCTACACTTTCAAATGATATGTCCCCATCTGGAGAGAGTGTTAATATCCCTGGTTATTAGGACTTTGGGGATACTTCAAGTCTCTTAGCACAGTGGGTAAGTGGATTCCCAAAAGAAGCAGTAATTCCAGTTAGCAAGTCAGGGAACCCTGATCTAGAAGTTTCTCTGATCTATTATTTAACAGGTATTAGATATTGTTAGTGTTGTTACCTGTTTACTTCTGTGCTGCTCTAACAGAAAATACCACCAATGAGATGGCTTAAACAAACAGGAGTTTATTCTCTAACAGTTTGGAGGCTTTAAGTGCAAGTTCAAAGTGCCAGGCTCTAGGGGCTGGGTGAAAGCCCCTCAACCTTAGCCTTCAGCTCTGTCTCTTGTTCCCAGCCCACTGAAGCTGGAGGCTTTTCTTCACTTTGCTGCTGGCTGCTGAAGCTAACAAGCCCAAGGTTGACAAGTAATAAAGCACAGTCCCGATGTTAACAAGCTACATGGCAGGCCATTAATTCAAGTCCGTTAAAGGTCCCAAGGTCAGCAGAGCATGGCAGGCTGCTGAACAGCAACCCAGCTACATGCAGCATTCAAGCATGCCATAAGCTAGAGACCATTCGCAAAGCTGTTTCTTTATGTGGGAAGCAGACCACATACCCAAAGCAGCTACTCAGCTGCTCTAATAGATTCCACCATGGAGTTAATTACCAATCTCACCATGGGGAATAACTACATTCAGCTGCCCAGCCACTCAACCAGGCCCAGCCAAGTTGACACACTAACTTAACCACCACATTACCTTTTCAGTTTATGTTCCTTTTGCTTGAGTTTTGGACATCATTCTCTCATAAAACTATCAGAAATGCTGGTTTTTGTCCCATATTTTGATTTTAAAGACTATCATAAATTATTTATGTACATGCTATTCCTCTGATACTTACTTTCAAATAATTTACTTGTTTAAATTTTTTAGAATATACACAAAATGTGTTGCTTATCACTGGTGATTGGAATGCAAAAGTTGGAAACAAAGAAGAATCACCAGTAGTTGGAAAATTTGGACTTGGTGACAGAAATAACGCTGGAGATTGCATGATAGAATTTTGCAAGACCAACCAATTATTCATTGCAAATACCTTTCTTCAACAACACAAATGGCAGCTATACACATGTACTTCACCAGACAGAGTACACAGGAATCAGATTGACTATATCTGTGGGAAGAGGCAATGGAAAAGCTCAATATCTTCAGCCAGAACCAGACCAGGAGCTGATTGTGAAACAGACCATCAGCTGCTCATATACAAGTCCAACTTGAAGTTGAAGACAATTAAAACAAGTCCACAAGAGCCAAAATAGGATCTTGAATATATCCCTCCTGAATTTAGAGACTGTGTACAGAACAGAGTTGATGCATTGAACACCAGTGACTGAAAACCACAAGAATTGTGGGATGAAATCAAAAGCATCATCCATGAAGAAAGCAAGAGGTCATTAAAAATACAAGAAAGAAAGAAAGGACCAAAATGGATGTCAGAAGAGACTCTGAAACCGGCACTTGAGCAAAGAGTAGCTAAAGCAAATGAAAGAAAATGACAAGATAAAATAGCTGAACAGAAGATTTCAAAGAGCAGCTTGAGAAGACAAAGCCAATTACTATAATGAAATGTGCAAAGACCTGGAACCAAAAGGGAAGAACATGCTCAGCACTTCTCAAGCTGAAAGAACTGAGGAAAAAATTTAACCCTCAAGTTGCGATATTGAAAGATCCTATGGGCACAGTATTGAATGATGCAGGAAGCATCGAAAGAAGATGGAAACAATACACAGAGTCACTGTACCAAAAAGAACTGGTTAATCTTCATCCATTTCAGGAGGTGGCGTATGTTCAAGAACCAATGATATTGAGAGAAGAGGTCGAAGGTGCGCTGAGGGAATTGGTGAGGAAAAAGGCTCCAGGAATTGATGGAATACTAATTGAAATATTTCAACATACAGATGCCCTGCTAGAGGCACTCGCTCAGTTTTGCCAAGAGATTTGGAAGACAGCTTCCTGGCCAACTGACTGGAAGAGATCCATATTTGT